TGTAAGACGCAGGCAAAAACTGCCCCCTACCTATCTTTTGGAGCTGCTGCAAGATTTATTAAACAACCGGAAGGAAAAAAAAAATGCTTAGAGGTCTGATGATATAGAAGTCACATAAATACAAGGCAGTATTGTTATCGCAAAGAATTGAATTAACTTTTACAAAATCCTGATAAGTCAGGTAGATAATCTTGGGCCTATTTTAACAGATCAGAGAGCTTAAGCCTTCGGTGAAAGCCACCTGGATAAGGTGTATGAAAGAGAGATAATTACTGGATCTGGTCCTAGGTCAGTATTTGTTGATACCTGGAAGTTCTTGAAAGGGAGCATTTAAAGTTCCTGTCATCCTCTTGGCAGGCAATGACAATAGTCTGCATATCATTCTCCCCAGTTTTCTTTCTGTGGTTCTTCATGAAATTGATCTGAAATGCAAGACACCTTGTCTCAATGGTATCCAAGGAGAGCCAAGTATTTTCAGAGCTATTAAAAGACATTGTTCTACTGATGAGGCATATAATGTGATTTAGTGCAGCCAAAGCCAAGGTATCCGTCAGATATGGAGAGACCTAGGGAAATGAGAGGAAGGAAAACCAGTGTGACAACTGCTGTAGTTTGTGCAGTAGTGTTACATGCATAGTGAACACCCACTCCCTTTAATATTATGCCCTGACATCACTAAATAAAAGCAAAAAAAAATGCAGAATACCAATTTTCATTTTAGCCTAAACAAACTTCTTCACTTGGCTCCAAAATTGCTCATTCGACATTACTAAAAGTGATTCAAAGTGCTAATTAAGTGCCTGTCACATAGTAAATGATCAATAAATGCTATCTGCTATTAGTTGGATCTGGAAAAGAAACAGAATTGCATGAAGTCAAGAACATATTAGAATATGATGCTTGGGTGGAAGGCTTGTCTCTTGTACCAAATTGCCAGGGAACTCTGAGGATTTGTTTAATGTGCGCTGTAAGGCAGGGACAGTACTTACTCAACTGAGATAAATTTTGTAAAAATATTAATAAATACATGAATGAATGAATGCCCATAAAATCCTTAGCATGGTGCCTGGCACATTCTCACAACTGACCTACAAAAGGTTAACTACTAGAAACCATGTAAGTGTCCCTTAACTGCCCAGTCATTATTTATTGAGCCCTTACAATGAGCCAGACACTGAGAGAAGTTGTAGAAAGAACAGATGAAGAAGGGAGAGGTGATCATTATCCACAGGTAGCTTTGCAGGGGAGGTCAATTAGCAAAAGAAAACATTCAAATAAAGCATGTGAAAGCTGTAATACATGCCACAGAAGAACTAATAAGAGGCTGACAGGAAAAGGAATTTCTTCATGGGACTGGAGTTAGGTAAAGTCTCTTTAAGGAAATAAATTCAAAGTGAAGGTTTCAAAGAGGAGGAGTCAGCCATGTGAAGTGGGAGTTATGGGCTTGCAGGCAGGAGGAACAGCCTCTGCACAGGCCATGAGTTGGAAATAGCCAGGTTCATTGGAGGCATTGCCCAGAGTGCTGGAGTGCATGGGTGAAGAGGAAGAATTGCCAGGTGGAACTGAGGAACTGGCAGGGCCCAGCTCACGCCGGCCTGAACGGCCTTGGTAAGGAACTGTGGGCTTCATTCTACTTGCTATGCTAAGTCAGGGCAGAGCTTTAAATTGTGGCAAGAATGATAATTTTTAAATGTTTCAAAGACCATTTTTGCACTTTTTTGATTACTAATCAGCATGTGGTTCCAAAATGTTCCTATTCTCTCTTTGTTGCATTCTGTTTCTCTCTCTCTCTCTCTCTCTCTCTCTCTCTATATATATATATATATATATATATATATATATCAGTAATTAAATATTAGCAAGGCTAGTATTCTTTCTGCACACAATGTGGTATCACCTTGTGCTGTCATTTAGGCACTTGTACCCCACTTTGGAGATGACAATGTGGAGGAGGGAGTAGGAGACCAGTAAGGAGGCTGTTGTGTGTCCAGATGAAGAATGATAGAGAATTAGACCAAGTGCAGGCCTATTTTTATATGTACATGAAAAGATTTCTTATTGGAATTGCAAATCTGTGCTCTCTACTGACCTTTGGTTTTAACTATTTTCCTAATAAATGGCCCATTCTTAATGCATTATACTAATAAAACCTGTTGGGTTGCTTTGTGAGATGTTGAATTGAAAACACTTCGAACTAGACTAGCCCACTTTCCTCCATGATTAGCCTATTTCTTAAAGTTTTCTGGAAAAGGAAGATAATTTAGGAAATTACTGGTAATTTCTGTTTCTGCTTGTTGACAAAAGTCAATGGGGATCAGAACCCTAAGAAATCAAGCAAATTCATCCAAAAAATATTAAGAGCAAATTGTATCCACATCTGTGCAACCTTTTCCTCAAATGGATTATTAAATGCAGACATTAAAAATAGTGTCTGCCCTCTGAATTCTCAGCAAATGGACTGCAAATGCTCTCACATTAAAAGGATCACTGTAATAGGTGTTTTAAAAGAGTGGAGCTATAACTCTTTGGAGAGGTAAAATCAGCTCTACTTGCACAAATTCTTTAGAAAGAACTTAAATTTGAAACCAAAACTATCTAAGTTTTGGTATGGTGAAACAATTGAAATCCATTCATTTCTTCCTTTCCATTTTGCTTTTTCCAGTCTTACTTTTGGTTGGAAATTATTTGGGATTCTGACTCTTTAATCTGGGTTTACCTTTCTTAGAGGAATTTTCACACAGTGCTCCAGGTTGGAAAGGTTTGAGAGGGCAGAGAAAGAAGGCATTAGGCAAGCGACCCTGCCAAGCTCAGAAATTCTTTCTAAAGGAGGAAAACATTGCTCTGGGCTTTGACAAAGAACCCTTGCAATTTGGGGAGGTAGGAAGACTCCTGGCTTCCCTCTCATCCTCCTAGAAACCTTACCTGCCGGGTTCTCTTCCTTCATTAGGAGGGGTGCTGTGAAAGAGCAGTCTTTTTCTCCCTAAAGACAAACAAAACACTCCCATCCTTTTGTACTCATATTTAATGATCTAACGCTCCTTCTCTGAGGTCCCACCTCAAATTAGTGATAGAACATCCAGCACAAACTTGAAGTTTGCACTTTATTTTTTTTAAAGATTCATTTATTTATGATTACAAGAACTGGGGTACAGGCCAGAGGTGTGGGAGGTGAGAGGATTCACCAGACACAGAGCGGGGAAGAGAACAGGCAGATAGACTGACTGAGGGGAGCAGCGGGCAAGTCAGGAGAGGTCTGCTGCACCATGTGGGTAGCTCCCGGGCCTGGGATTGAACTCACGCCACAGAAGCTGCGGACAGCTTCACAGCACTGCGCTCAACCCCTTGCACCACCAGAGAGGCCCCGAAGTTTGCACTGTAGATTGGGCAAAAGAACAATCATTTAAGTTCATTAGATAAATTAATTTTTTGAAACACAATTCTGGATTGGATTGGTATAAGAGAAATTCCTCTTGGACAGCATTAAACATTAGATCATTAATTGAAGAGTACTTACAACATGCTACTTTCAAGTTGGCCACTCCGCAAACTCAGAATGCAGGTTTTTCAGTGCCATTACCTTGGCAAGCGTGAACATGAGCCAAAATGTTATTGGAAACCAGAAATTGTACTATTTTGTTGCACGTTCATGTATTCAATCAGCAAATATTTAGGAAGTAATTGAGTAGTTACTATGTGATAAGGAAGTGTTGTAGGTACATGAGGCCTGCAAGGAAATCTGAAGATATTTCAAGCCTTAGAAGCAAATTTTCTATTTGAAAAAGGCTGGGATTTTGAGAATTTCTTTGTGATTTTCAAAGCCCATTCACCTGCTATAAATCTTCATCTGAACTTTTGAACAGTAGCAGGGGAGCTGGGCTGAGCAGACATTATAATCATACAATTATAGAATTTTAGGAGTGGAAGAGATTTTAAAGGTCAGCTAATGCAACCATTTAATTTTAAAGCATAGGAAGCTGTGAGCTTGTTCCTCCTCTGAGGTCCCAGCTCAAACTGGTGAAAGAGGATGCAGCACAAACTTGAAGCTTGCTAATAAGAATCTTAAGGCATGCCTTTGAAGCTCTGGGCCAGGCTCAAATGACACAGGAGAAACAAAGCCCCAAGCCTTCTTTCCTTTAAACATATTAAGTATAACAGACTCACAAGGAATATTTATGGGATTCATGATTGACAGATTTCCTACCACATAGACCACTGTGTCAACAACTGAGGGCAAACTCATTGCAGGGAGCTCACAATTTGGTTTTGCTGTCCTCAGTGAGTTTATAGTCTGATATTTTCTCATATTTTGGAGTCTCGAGATATTTGCCCACAAAAAGTGGGGAGGTGGGGTTCAAATACAGTGATTGTTTTAGGAGGAAACAGGAAAGCTGAAAAATGATGGGAAAATCCCCCCAGCTGCCCCCCTCCCCGTGGTCATTTAATTCCATCAGACTCTGCAGATTCGGCCACACAGAGTCTGCTCAAGATAAGGTCAAGATGCCAACTCACAGAGGCCAAGAGCGAAAATGCAGGAGCCCACCCGTCCCTACCTTCAACACTGGAAAAGACCAGGAGATTAAAATAAAAACCAACGAAAACCCAAGACCGAAACCGCCACAGAGACGGGCTGGAACCACAGCACGGGAATAGGAAGTCCCCGAGCCAGTGCCCACTGCGCGCGCCGCGAGCTGGACGCCCCCCCGGGAGGGGCGCGCTGGCGCATCGGGGAGCCCCGCGGCCGCGGGGGCGCACGGCGCGCGGCGGCGAGGAGCTGACGGCGGCCGCGCGGACGAGCCCAAGGGGAGGGTCGGCGGCGCCTCCCGTCCCCGCAGCCGCCCGCGCTCCGCCAGCTCGGGAGTGGGACGCGGCGCCGGGAGCCCCGGCAGCGCCGCCCGCCCCCCCGCGCGCCCGCCCGCGCGCCGCGCCCGCTCCGCCCGTGACTTCAGTTCGGCTCCACCCCCGCGTGGCCGCGTCTCGCTCGGTCCGAACCCGCGCTCGGCACTAGCCCGGCCCCGGCGAGCGCCCGCCACCTGCCCGGCGCCGCCCGCGCCCGCCCCCGCCGCGCCTCAACTTGGATGGAGTTGGGGTCCTGAGCGCCCGCCGCCTGCAGCCGGCCGAGGAGAGCCCCGCGCCGCCGCCTCGGGTCCGGGACCCCCGCTCCGCTGCTCTTCGCTCCCGCGATGGGAAAAGTTGGCGCCGCCGGCGGCTCCTCAGCCCGCCTGAGCGCGCTCCTCGCCGGCGCGGGGCTCCTGGTCCTCTGCGCCCCGGGCGCGGGCGGCGGCGGCTCCTGCTGCCCCCGACTGCGCCGCGGCTCGCCCCCAGCCTGGGTTCCGACCCCAGGGGGCTTCTCCCAGCAGGGGCCGCGAGGCAGGGCTGCTGCCACGCCCCTGCCCCTGCCGGGGCGCCCCCTGTTCGCCGTGGCCCCGGGAGACCGGGCGCTCTCCCTGGAGCGGGCCCGGGGCACCGGGGCCGCCGCGGCGGCTGCTCCGCGCTCGGGCCGGAGGAGACGGAGCGGAGCGGACGAGGAGCCTGCGGAGAGGCGCGAGGCTGCGAGCAGAAGCCCCCGGGGAGCGCTGAGGGATGGGGGGCCGCAGAAGCCCGGGACTCCGGAGCGGGACCCGGACAAAGCCACGCGCTTCCGCACGGAGGAGCTGAGACTGACCAGCACCACGTTCGCGCTGACCGGCGACTCCTCGCACAACCAAGCCATGGTCCACTGGTCTGGCCACAACAGCAGCGTGAGTAGAACAGAACTGGGGGGCCCAGGGGTGCACGGTGGAAAGGGTTAAGGCCGCTCCGGGATCTGATGGAGAATTTGGAGACAGGGCTTTCTGGGTTTGAAAAGATGCCATAAACTCAAGTCCTCCTGGCGCACCTCCCTTAGGCGTTATGTGACCTACGTGGGGAGCAGTGCCCCCTCCCCCCACCACCCCCTGAGTCCTCGCCAAACCTTAAGGCTGCAAACAGCAGGCAAATTTCTGCTTCCCCGCATCTTCGGTCGCATCGGTGTAGTTGTGCCTGAAGCCCAGGCAAGCGGGGGGAGGGGGGGTCAAAGTCTTCCCAATGCGCAGGAGGTGAAGGGGTTAAATATCCAGGCTGGCTCACATTCCCCCAAGTGACTTTCCCCTTACTTGGGAGACTTACAGTTGAGCTCGAGTAAGATCAAGAAGACTTTATTTGTGGGCTTTTAATTTTATTTTTTATGTAGAGCTCCTAACCCCTTCTTCCTCACAAGAGAGGAGAAATCCTCGGACTGTCAGGTGCCCTTAATGTATTCTCCTTCTCTGGGAAGCTCGTGGACGCAAGTTTCGGGACAGGAACTCTCCTGCGTCCTCTAACAGCCCCCGTCAGTGTGGTGCGAGCTGGTGCTTTCCAGCCTGTGAATGAGTGGTTGTTCTCTGGCATGGTCGGTCCCAGGAAGAGGAGCTACATCCCAGTGACAACAACTCCCTGTTCTCCCCCATGGCCAGACCCCCTTCAGTGAAGAGCACAAACACCCACTTAGCCCTCCCTTTAGGAAGGGAGGTGGGGGCTTTCTGGGGTCCAGGAGGCTGACACTGGACCGTGGGGGAGGGAGCAAGTTCATGAGCTTTGGCCACAACAGGGAATGTTGCAGGTTTTTGGAAAAACCTGAAAGTGTGGAATGGGAGGTAGTTATTCCAGTTTAAACAGCACCTGGAAACTTGAATGAGCAGAAAGAGTAAGGAAACAGCTTTGATGGTTAACAGCTGAAGATGATTTAAGAGTGACGATTTCTGCAGGTTGCTGTTAGGTAGACAAAAAGAAGGTTAAAAATAAAAATACAGGGATGGGTGGAATGAAACAAATATCCAAGTTCCAGCTTCCCTGGGGTTAAGGAGATCGTTGAGTTTGTGGCATGCACAGTCTATAGAGCCCGGTAGCTTTGAAGGTGTTTTCCGTGTGATGTAATTGCTAGAAACCTTCCCAGGGAAGTGCCACTTTAGAGATTTGTGCTCCTTGTCAGCTTTTTAATGAAAGTTGTGAACATTTTAACTTAATAGTCTGTCATTATGGATTTCTTGTGTATGTGGATATAAAATAGAAATATAGTAAAGTAAATCCTGGTAAATAATACTTTGCATTGGTTGTCTGTCTTGAGAGAATTAGCAGTATTTTCCCTATAGTACAGCCTTCATGCCCCGGGCTATGGTTTTATATGTTTCTCATATAAATTATTTTAATCAAATAATTGAAGTCATCATATTTTTCATTCAAGTTCTGGAGACCCCTGGACTCATGCCTTACCTTCATTTTCATAGCTTTCATATCATAACCTCGAAACTTAACCTCTCCCAATTGAACTTGAATCTTAAAATCAGTTGGCTAACTGACACACTGATGTAGGTGAGTCACTCAATGCTTCTGACTTTAAAGGGAGATTTTAAACACATCAGATGTGTTAGGGCTTATTGTATCAAGAAGTAAGGCTTTGGACTCAAAATATTTTTGACTTTTAATGTCATTTAAGCTATAAAATAGCACTCACCCATTAGACCTCTACTTGAGTTCATCTCTTGAAAGATCTTGGAAAGAGCAAGAAAACAGGAGTACATCTTTGGCAAATTTAAAACTCCATTTAAGAAATGGCGCCAAGCACTGCCAGCCTTTCTTTCTTTTTTTTTTTTTAAATGGTGCTTATAAGCTCAGTAGGGTTTATTGAGGTCAGGACTGGATGGGTGACATGCAGGGAACTCTGAGATAATGTAGGGAATAATCCAGGTGGTGCATGTCCAAGATTTGAGCACTCAAATCATGTTAACTAATGAGGTTTCTAACCTCCAAGTCTCATATTCTATTGCTATAAGGACACCTGGCTTCCCATCCCTGCCCTTTATATATACAATTTTTAATTTTTTTGGTGTATCAGTGTAATAATGATAGAGGAAGAAAAACAGTCTATATCTAGGTCCTCCAAGCAGAGCTGGCAAGGACTCATAGGACAAAGTTTAAAATATTGTTGTAAAAGAAAGGAAAGCAGAAACTTTTCAGGTCAACTTGGTGGCATAAGAAGCAGAATAGTGAGCAGAGTTCTAGTTCTGCTGATTTGTGGTTGGATCTTGGCTCTGAGCTTGAATCTCTTGTCTCTGGAATGGGGGCAGTGCCTGCTGGATTCTTTTCAGAGACTTTCCTGGAGGATGCTTATAAGAGAGCATGAGGCTGTGAAGTACCTACACCTGTTTGGAGCTCTGGGCTCATATCTCTTCACTTGCCCCCAGAATGAGAAAACCACTAACCTAAACCCAAAGACAAGAGGAGTGGCTCTGCTTGTGTTCACATTTGCATGCCTTCCAATCCACAGCCCAAGCCACTCAGTGCAATCCTCTGAACCTGTCTCACCTTCATCTAAAAGCTTTTGCTAAGTAGGGCTTCTGATTACAATAACACCTGCATTAAAGGTGTAAATGTATGATAATTACAGGCTGCCTGTCAGACTTGTGAGGGATTCTGGATGGTTCTCTCACCTCCTTCCCTTCTCCTTCCTGCCCCCTCCACTGCTGGGCTTGTACAGTTGTGTAGACATGAGTGCGCTGCCTCCTCCGTGGGTGGGATGTGATTCCTCTCTACTGCAGTCTAGCTTGATGGAAACTGTTGCTAGAGTTGGTGGAACACCTGGGGGGATCTTTTGGCATGAAAGGTGCTGGGTATGAATCATTTGTCATGAGCTTAGTGTCTTAAGCAAGAACATATTGTTCCTACCCTACTCATCTGAGGCATGCTGAGCCCTGATCTAAATTTATATAGTAATCCTTAGTTTGTTAAAATATATATTTGTCTACATATGCATGTGTGGTGGGCATGGGTTTATTCTTTATTTCCAAGGAATTTCAAAGTGCTACACTCATTCATCCTTACAAAATCTTTGTTAGGTAACAGGTAGGTGGAAACTGTTAATATTTTTTTTTCAAATTTTTATGCGGGAGTCAATTTGAATATTTCAGTTACCACCTTGTCCCTTTGTCACTGGAAAGTGTGCTATAAGATTTAACAGAGGCTTTTAATTGACATATTCTGTTGCCGTTGTATTTTTAATATTGTATTTGTCATAGAGTATGATGGTCTGCTTGATTATTTTCTGTACTTCCTTTAGTTGTTCTGGGTCTTGACGTTCGCCATCCACCTTAGTGAATAAACTGAGTCCCGACGTGGGTTTGGTTTTGGAATAGATGCTTTAAATTCGTTATTTACATATTTTTTGCTAAAATGTTGTAGTAGATCTTACTGTTGCTATTACACAGATGAGGAAACTGAGACTCCTGAAGGCTGTGTGGCTTGCCAAGAGGATACAAAAGTTTAGTAGCAAAGCAGAGACTGACACTCAGGGAGATCTGACTCCAAAACTCCACAGAATGGTGTGTCCTAAGCCTGGAAAACACGAGTCTTTTGGAATCTGTATTTTAAGTAAGTCTATCTAGGGTAGATTTCAGATTATGGTGGAGAAGGGCATATTCTTAACTGGAATCTGCATCTCCCTATGGAAAAGCAGGGACTTTACCATGTGCCTGTCATATCACACCTTTACCTTAAGTAGTGATTTGGTGGTTCTCGTCCACCCACTTCTTCATGATTCTCAGACATGAAATCTGCACCGGGTGATTCACTGAGTACGCGGATCTAGTATTCTTCAGGAATGGGTTCTTTTTCTTAGTTAACTACAAATTTGATTTTAAAGAGAAGTAGAATATGGACATCTGATTTGGTATACATTTTGACAGTCAGGTTTTTTTATAAGTAAAATTATGAAATATTTTTGTTTAGCACACCTACCTAATTCTTTCTCTGCTCAGTCTTCTCTGCAATTAGCAGATTTATTAATGTGGTGTGGCATGCAAGGCAGTAGTTTAGAAGCACAGAGGTTTGAGTTTGAATATTAGCTGTCCTGCTTAACAACACTTTATCTTGAGCAAGACACTTAAATTCTTTGGACTTTGATTTTCTCAGCTATGATAAGGGGGTGGTAGGTCTTTTTGAGCCATTTCTGAAGATTTGACAACATGTGTACCAGTTGATGGTATGTAGTAAGTGCTCAATAAATGCTGCTTATTTTAGTTCAAGAACTAATTCTATAATGGGAACTAAGGATCCTGGATTATAGTTCTAATCAAAAATTAGGTTTGTAGTTATAGCCTGTTAAAATTTTATGGTCTCAATTTCATCCACTGTAAAATTACACTAATAGATTAGAACATTACTGAAATCCCTTAAAGGGTGAGATTATTTTAATAGTTTGTTCAAACTAGGTATTGTGCACCTGCTATATTTAAGTGAAGTATAGCGATAGTGTTGGGGTTATAGAAATGACACAAAGAGCTGTAAACTTGGATCTATAAGTGAACAAACCTTTTATTTCAGATTCCTCCCTTTTCCCATGACTTGTATGCATATTTATTTATAAGAAATCAAGACTTTGAGATCCTGCATACATTCATTTCAATGCGGATTTGTAGCAAGACATGATTTATTAGATTCATTGTATCATGTCTTTATGCTAAGGAATTACCATCTTTGAACAAAAATAAATTACTTAATGTGAAGTTGGAAAGTACGCATCTCAATATATTTAATGGACTTTTCTAGAGTCAAATGACATGAGTGTTGGCTCTGGATACCATATCCACATCCTTTTAAAGAGAACCCCAAAATGTTACAGACTAGAGTAGGCAAGCTGATGGAACTATCTCATTTACTTAAGAGAATAATAATTGCTCATATTTGGCAA